AATTAGGGTAACTCAAAAAGAAAGATTTAACCTTAACGTCCCATACAAATTAAGCAATCTTCATGGGCTCCAACTCTTTTCCCCAAGATTATGCAATCTTAGAAACTAACTTAGGATTAAGCAAACTAAGCTAAGAATTTCATTAAAACGAATTAGGGTTAACTAAGCAATGTCCCCCAATTCAACCATTAATTCAATTCAAAGACTTGAGAAATATAAATTCATGAAGGAAAGGAAATTATATTGACATTCATACCCAGGAATTCAAGAATCCATGAACTCACTAAGGATTACAAGAAAGTTTAGCCCTCCATAAGGATGGGTCTTACAAATTCAAGATGAAAATAAGGGAAATTCAAGATCATCAATGCAAGAATTAAAGGAAAATGAAGAGAAATTGTAAATCAAACCCTAAGATTGGCCTTGGCTGTCACTGTTGTTCGCAATCTAACACTAGCAAGTGCACTAGGATTGCAGCAAGTAATGATTAAAATTAAGATCCAAATATCGTCTCTATAGGGAATTTAGGTTTCAAGTACCACTTCACAGAATTATAACCATTTGAGCCATACGAATTTGGAAGGAGAGTTGTAACATGTAATAACAGCAAACTAGAACAATTAGGAGTAAAAGAAACTTGTAGAATAACAGAACAATGAACAAACAATTATGTGATAACAGATAGAGAAACCATAGCTAGGGAGTTGCTTCACCAAAACTCCAATGTTTAATCAATAAAGTTATGAACTAGCAAGCAATTGGAAAGAATGACAATCAGTTTCACGTTATATTGTTCAGAGGTTAATTCCTTAACTCAGTAAACCTAACATTCAATTAAACCATTCTAATTCCTTAGATCTGATTCAATTCAATATTGCTTTAAGTGTAAGAAACCAGAAGATTGCAAGATCAAAGTCTCTTATCCCTAAGAAAACTATAATCTCGGTGATTGGTTCAGATCTGAAGAACAAATTCAATTTCCATTGACAAGAGTTCCTCTGAAATTAGTTAATCAAATTCCCATTCAATTACTACGTAAAATGCAGAATCAATCACTCAATCTATTCCAAAGCTTGAAATCCAGATCCAAAATCAATTCAACATGTTCGTTTCAGATCTACAATCCCTAACTATGAAGAAATTACACAGCCATGACAACAGAGAAAGGAAAAGAAAGAGAAGAAGAGAAGAAGAAACTCAGAATCACCATGGCAACATGCTCCACTCCAATGTCTCTTCGTGAAGCTCCAAAATTTGACTCCCCACTCCTCTGTCTCACTTCCTCCAACGAGAATCTAACTAACAAAACTGAAAATGAACAAAATCCCCATAATTCTGGAGCATTTCTGGTATTTATAGAATTTTCCAGATTTGCGCGTCATCACTTTTATGAGAAATAGTAGCTACGCAGAAGGTTTATGGTTGCGCGTTAACACTTTTATGAGAAAAAGTGGCCACGCGCAACTTTCCTGATATTGAGAGCTCTCTGGAACTATCACTCTTGCTGATAAAAATGTCTACGCAGAGCCCAAGTAGTTGTGCGTGATCACTCTTATGAATAAAAGTGACTATGCACAACTCGCCAAGTTGAAGGCTCTCTAGAACAATCACTTTTGACGACAATAGTGGTTACGTAGAGCTTTCCTGATATTTTGCCTCTCTGGAACGCTCACTTTTAATGATAAAAGTGATAACGCCCAGCATGCTGAGTCTGAGGCTTCACTGGATCTCTCACTTTTCCTAGCAAAAGTGGTAACGCCCAAGCTTTCTTCTTCTTTGAACTCTGAAGTGATCACTTTTACTAACAATAGTGATCACGCCCAGTCTGCATTTTCTTGTTCTTGTGTTTTTGGAGTCCAGACTTGCTTCTTTCCTCTTCCTTGTCATCAAGCCTCCATTTACACGACCCTTGCTCGAATTATTCCTTCAAAAACAAGATTAAAAACTTAATTTCTAAGCTAAAATTTCACAATTTCTAAAATAACTAAATTGAAAGAAAACTTCAAATCATTCTCTTTTTCTGAGTTTTTCTGCTTTATTCATATATTTTCCTTATCAAATGAGTTAGAATTATGCTAAAATATTAGTAAAAATATGGATTCATCAGTCACCCAAGGATCCTAAGCTCTGCAAAATGCTCCCAAAGTGGCAAAAGAATATAAAATTATGTAAAAAGCTCCGTACTCTAATTTCTCAAATCCTATTTATAGTGCAAAATTTTTTGCCCAAAGTAAATACTATGGTTTCATAGTGATGATGCGCAGCACTCCATAGTATTTACGCTCGCTCCATAGTGTTTACGCGCAAGACCAGTGATTTGGGTCTCTCTAGAGTTGTCACTTTGGCTTCATAGTGATAACGCGCAACGCTTCAGAGTGGTTACTGTCGCTCCATAGTGTTTACGCGCAGGTCCTGTGTTTTTGGCCTCTCTGGAGTTGTCACTATGGGTTCATAGTAATCTCTTTGGTCTGCCCTCTGGATCTAGCTTGTTGTAGTGTTCACTATGGACTCCAAAGTGATCACTTTCATCTCAAACATTCTCAAATGCTAAAAATCCATGGAATAAGTCTAGAAACTCCTGCACAATTATTCAAATGATCAAAATTGCAAACTATATCTATGTAAATCAATGTAATTTAACCAAAAATTAAGAAACCTAAGATAAATTGACCAAAATGATGTTTTTATGTTTTTACAATTCCTAAGTTTACTTTTTCTATTAAGAAACATTCAAATGATAAGTAAAAACCTAATAAAATGTGGATTCATCAATGATAGCTAGAGGCATGAGATTAATGCTTGCTCCTAGATCACATAAAGCTTTTCACACAGTGCATTTTCCAATTTCACAATGGATGCTGAAAGATCCTGGATCCTTGAGTTTTTGAGGAAGTTTTCTTTTAAGAATAGCACTGCATTCTTCTGTTAATGGCACTGTCTTGTCATGTTCTAACTTCCTTTCCTTAGATAGTAGCTCCTTCATGAACTTGGCATAAGATGACATTTGTTCTAATGCTTCCGCAAAAGGAATATTAATCTGCAGCTTCTTGAATATTTTCAAAAATCTCTCAAATTGCTCCTCTTGTTTAGGATTCTGCACTTTTTGAGGATAAGGTAACCTTGTGTATTTTTCTAGATCAATTGATCTGCAAGCATCCTCAAAGAACTGCTTCTTTGTTTTTCTCTCAGAATTTATAGGAGCTTCATTTTCTGAATTTCCTCTTTTTGACAGCTTAAAGTTCCCTTGCTGTTGATCTTTCTCTACTTTTCCTTCTTCTGCTGAATTACTAACTCTCTTTTCTGCAAGTTTTGGGCTAGCTACGATAGCTCTACTTCTTGTTGTTATAGCTTGGCATTGCCCTTTTAGATTTATCACTGTGTTACTAGGAAACCTCCCGTCATCTCTATTTGCTAGCTGTTCAGCCAATTGCCCAATCTGAGTTCCTAGTTTCTTCATAGAAGCTTCTTGATTTTTGAGGCTGGTTTCAGTGACCTTCATAAACTGCAGCATAGTCTCTTCAATCTCATTCATTCTCTCATTTATAGGTCTTAAAGAATTCTAAGTTCTTTGAGGTTAAGCAGAAGAGTTGCCTTGAAAATATTGCTGCTATTATGAAGTTCCTACATTTGAAAATGGGAGAGAGGAGTTAGTGTTTTTCACAGTAGAATTTTGAGGATTCCACTTATAAAATTGATTTCTGTTAGCTGGATATTGGAAACCAGGGGGAAAAGATTGCTGAAGAAAAGATTGTTGCTGCCTTTGATAATTTCCATATAGTTGACTGCTCTTATGGATCTGATATAGGTACCTCACTGCACCATTAGCATGATTGCCTCCATAAAAATCACATATCAGTTAAGTGTTTGCAACATTTCCAGCTTATAGGCTATTGATCTGTTGATTTAAAGCTGCTATTTGCTTAGAAAATAATTTGTTCTACAACTGATTTTGTGCAAGAAAAGTCTCTATAGTTTTAGCTTCATATCCATTATTTCTCCTTGCATGTCTTGAGTTGGAATTTTAGTACATAGATGAAGCTATCATCTCAATAATTCTTTGAGCCTCTTCTAAGGATTGACTCTACTATCTCCCTCCCGGATCTATTACCAGTTGGGATAATTTGAAGAGGCTTTTCCTAGAGAAATTTTTCCCAGCTTCAAGAGTTGCATCTATAAGGAAGGAAATTTGTGGGATAAGACAGCTTGAGAGAGAGACCCTTTATGAATATTGGAAAAAATTCAAGAGGTTATGTGACAGCTGCCCCCACCATCAAATTAGTGTAATTGCTCATTCAATACTTTTATGAGGGACTGCACCCCATGGATAGAAGTATGATAGACGCCGCATGTGAAGGGGCACTGGTAGACAAGACTCTGGTTGCAGCCTGCAACTTGATTGAGAATATGGCTGCCAACTCCCAACAATTTGCAACAAAGCAAAATTCTTGTGTTACTAGAAATGTAAGTGAAGTGCAAGTTACTGAATCTAGTAAGCTAGAACACAAACTTGATGAATTAGCATCCATGGTGAAGCAATTAGCTTATATGCAAAAGAGTGCTGCTGCATCTTCACCTCCTCCACCATCCATTCCAGCCATGCTGTGTGGTATTTGTTCAGCTACAGACCATTACACCGATAGCTGTCCTACACTACAGGAGTCTAATACTCTAGAAGGTAATCCTCAGGCTTATGCTGCAAATATTTATACTAATAAGTTTCCTTTCCAAGTTCACAGCAACAGCCTAATTCGGACCTATCTTCTAATAGATACAACCCAGGTTGGAGGAACCATCCAAATTTGAGAAGGGGGAGCAATTCTCAACAGCATAACCAGCAACAAAGCAACCAATATCAAGCACATCATGCTGGCCCAAATAGATCCCATCAATCCCAACATCAACCATAACAAGTCCAGCATCATCAACAATCATCTTCCTCACAACCAAGTGCATCCTAGAAAAATAGACCATCATTGGAGGAGCTCATGAAGCAATTGACCATGAACAACATCACTTTCCAGCAGAGAACTGAGGCTAGTATTAAGACTTTGGAGAATCAAATGGGACAATTAGCCTCCTCTTTGAACCAGATGCAATCTCAAGGCTTAGGGAACCTCTTTACACAAATAGTTGTAAATCCCAAAAATGTAAGTGCAATCACCCTGAGATCTGGAAAAGTGATGCAAGAGCCCACCATGCCTAAGGAGAAAGAAGACTCAAGCTGTACTTCAGCTATAGTTGGTCAAAATGGAGAGGAAAAGGCTAAAAAACAACCAGAACCTATACCTGCTCAACCAAAGGTGGCAGAAAATGTTGAAAGGTCAATTCCTTTACCATTTCCTCAAAGAGTTATCCAGCCAAGCAAAAAGATTGAAGAGGCTGAGAAAGAGATTTTAGAGACCTTCAGGAAGGTAGAGGTGAACATACCTTTACTAAATGCAATCAAGCAAATACCTAAGTACGCTAAGTTCTTGAAAGATTTGTGTACTCACAGGAGGCGTCTTAAGGGTAATGAAAAGATAATCATGGGTAGGAATGTTTCTGCACTTTTTGAGAACCAAAGGTCTACAATGCCTGAGAAATGTAAGGACCCAGGAACATTCACCATTCCATGCATCATTGGTAATAATAGGATTGAGGATGCCATGTTAGATTTAGGAGCATCCATAAATGTCATGCCATTGTCCATTTTTACTTCACTGTTTCTTGGCCCTCTGCAGCCTACAGGTGTAGTTATCTAGTTAGCCAACAGAAGCATAACGAACCCAGCTGGGATTGTTGAAGATGTGCTAGTCAGAGTAAATGATCTTATCTTTCCAGCTGACTTCTACATCCTGGATAAGCAAGAGGAAGAGTCAATGAAAAGTGTTGCACCAATCATCCTAGGGAGGTTGTTCTTGAAGACTGCAAGAACAAAAATTGATGTGCACACCGGGACACTTACTATTGAGAGTGCTAAATCACTTCCCTTTGGGATCAACCTCCCACACTGGAGCTTAAACCCTTACCAGAAGATCTGCAATATGCCTATCTGGAGGCAGATGAAAAACTCCTAGTGATAATCTCCACCAAGCTAAATATTGATCAAGAGGAGAAACTCCTTGAAGTGATAAAGAGGCACAATAAAGCTATAGGCTAGACCCTCGCTGATATTCCTGGAATCAGCCCCTCTTTGTGTATGCACATAATACTTTTGAAGGAGGGTGTCAAACCAGTAAGGCAGCCTCAGAGGAGGGTGAATCCTATCATCTTAGAAGTGGTGAAGAAAGAGGTCACCGAGTTACTACAAGCTGGGATCATCTACCCTATCTCAGACATCACTTGGGTCAGTCTGGTCCAAGTGGTCCCAAAGAAATCTCCGGAAGGATCATTTTCCACTACCCTTTATTAATCAGATACTGGAGAGGTTGGCTGGTAAGTCTCATTATTGTTTTCTTGATGGTTTTTTTGGTTATTTTCAAATTTGCATAGCACCTGAAGACCAAGAAAAAACCACTTTTACATGTCCTTTTAGCACTTTTGCCTATAGGAGAATGTCCTTTGACTTGTGCAATGCTCCAGGAACATTTCAAAGATGTATGGTAAGCATTTTTTCTAACTTAGTGGAGCATTGTATAGAGGTTTTTATGGATGATTTCACTGTATATGGCCCATCTTTTTCTGCATGCTTAGTTAACTTAGAAAAAGTTTTGAAAAGATGCATTGACACTAATCTTGTGCTAAATTTTGAGAAATACCATTTCATGGTAGAGCAAGGTGTAGTGCTAAGCCATATCATATCTGAAAAAGGAATTGAGGTAGATCCTACAAAATTAGATGTTATTGCACAATTGCCTTATCCTTCTTGTGTTCGAGAGGTTCGTGCTTTCCTTGGCCATGCAGGATTCTACAGGAGATTCATTAAGAACTTCTCTAAAGTTGCTATTCCCCTGTCCAGGCTTTTGTAAAAGGAGCTCGAGTTCAATTTTGATGAACAGTGTAAAGAAGCATTTTATATGCTTAAGGAAGCCCTGATCACCACACCTATCATCCAACCTCCGGATTGGACCAAGCCATTTGAATTGATGTGTGATACATCCAATTTTGCGGTAGGGGCTGCCTTGACACAGAGGGTTGCTAAGTTTCCTCACATCATTTATTATGCTTTTAGAAGCTTGGATCCAACACAATGTAATTACACCACAACTGAAAAAGAATTGTTGGCTATAGTCTTTGCATTGGACAAGTTTAGGTCATATCTTTTAGGGTAAAAAGTTGTGGATTTTACTGATCATTTTGCTTTAAAGTATTTGCTAAAAAAGACAGATTTGAAGCCCAGGCTTATAAGATGAATGCTCTTACTTCAAGAGTTTGATATAGAGATCAAGGATAGAAATAGAACTCAAAATCTGGTAGCTAACCACCTGAGCAAGATAGAGGGAGTTCTTGACCCTATTCCTCTTTTAGATGATTTTCCTAATGAACAACTCTTAGAGTTGTATACTTCACAGGCACCCTGGTACGCTGACATTGTTAATTTTCTTGTTGTAGGGGCCTTTTCAGCAGATGCACCAAGAGCTAAAAAAGAAAAGATAAGGAGTGATGCCAAACACTACCTTTGGGATTACCCTTATTTTTGGAAATTCTACAGTGACCAAGTTATTAGAAGGTGCATACCTGATGAGGAGATTCCATCCATACTACAGTTCTGCCATGCCTCAGCCATGGAAGGTCACCAAGGAGCTCAGAGGACAACAAGGAAAGTGCTAGATGCAGGACTGTACTGGCCTTCAATTTTCAAGGACTCATGGCAAGCATATTCCACCTGTGAAAGATGCTAAAGAGCGGGAGGATTGATTACTTGGAGACAGGAGATGCCCCAATAGCCCATCCTCTATTGTGACATCTTTGATGTCTGGGGTATTGATTTTATGGGACCATTCCCTTCCTCTTTTTCTTTTCTTTATATACTTCTTGTTGTCGATTATGTCTCAAAATGGGTGAAAGCTAAGGCCACTAGGACTAATGATGCCAGAGTTATTGCATATTTTGTCCGTAGCAACTTATTTTGCAGGTTTGAAATCCATAGAGCCATTATTAGTGATCAAGGAAGTCATTTCTGCAATAGGACAATGGAAGTCTTGTTGAAGAAATATGAAGTTGTACACAAATTTTCCACTGCCTATCACCCACAAATGAATGGACAAGCTGAGCTCTCTAATAGAGAAATTAAGAAAATACTTGAGCGAGTAGTGTAGCCACATTGGAAAGACTGGAGCTGCAGGCTTGATGATGCCTTGTGGGCGCACAGAACTGCATTCAAGACACCATTGGGAATGTCACCATATAGGGTGGTCTATGGAAAAGCTTGCCATTTGCCAGTTGAGGTGGAACATAAGGCTTACTGGGCAGTGAAGACCTGAAATGTCCATTATGACTCAGCTGGAGAACAGAGGAAGTTGCAGCTGCAAGAGTTGGGGGAGCTGCGTCTTAAGGCCTATGAGAACTCCAAAATTTACAAAGAAAAGACCAAGAGGTACCATGACAAAATGATCTCAAGGAAAGAATTCTACATTGGTCAAAAGGTCCTCTTGTTCAATTCTCGTTTGAAACTCATGCCTGGAAAGCTCAAATCAAAGTGGCTTAGACCCTTCATAGTTACAAAGGTATTTTCCCATGGTGTAGTGGAGATCATAAGTGACTCAACTAGCAAAAGCTTTATGGTGAATGGACACCGCTTGAAGCCATACTTGCAAAACTAAGCCACCTTGGAAAAAGTTGAGGAGATTAACCTGCAATCACCATGCATAAACTTCCATCCCAGCCCTTGGCCTACATAACTCACTTCACACGTCAAGCTAGTGACGTTAAATAAGCACTGTGTGAGAGGCAACTCACAAGTTGATTAAGAATTTTTGTTGTTATTTACATTCAATAAGCATTTTCATAATTGAGCTATGATATGCATGATGAATTTGACATGATTTTCCTGCACATTCTCAAATTTTTATAGTGGACAATTGTAAATCTTGAGCTTGATTCATGCATAAATCAAATAAAGTTCAAGTGTACAAGGAAATGGTCACCCCTGCCGTGAACAATGACCTTTTGGGGAAGAAGTTTCAATTTCACCATCAGAGGTGACCACTTTCATTTCATAGTAGTCACTTTCAGCTAAGGTAAGTGATTCCACTCTCTATAGTTCTCACTTTCATTTCATAGTTATCACTTCCAAATGCTTTTGGGCTCACCAGTCTCTGTAGTAGTTACTTTTATCTCATATTAACCACACGCAGAGACACTAGGAATTAAGGGTGTTCTCTGTAGTTGTCACTTTCATTTCATAGTAGACACTACAGAGACCCCTCCTGGGCACATATGTTGCGCGTAGCTACTCCCATTTCATAGTAGCTACGCGTAACTCAATTAGGAATTTTGCAAAATATGCCCTATCTGTAGTAGTTACTTTCATCCCACAGTAACCACGCGCAACATCAACTTGGAAAACACAGATACGCGTGTCCACTATGGTTTCAAAGTGACTACGCCTAAAGCCATATAAATAGAAAGTGGCCACTCTAGCCCTTACTCTCACTCATACCCTCTGAGCGCTCTCACTCTCGTCCCCAACCTTCCCGTGATTTCTCTCTTTCATCTTCACTATTTTGTGCTAAAACCCAATCAATTTTGCATTTCTTCAATAATTTCGAACACCTATCCAGGTAATTTTTCAATTTCTCTCTCTCTGTGTTAAGGCTTATAACTGCAGAATTTAGGGATTTTGATTTAGGACGTTATGCATTGAAATCTCTTTGTAAATCCTGCTATTTCAAGTGTGATTGCATGTTTGAAGGGAATTGGGGGTGTTTAATTAGGACAATTTGTGCATTTTGCATTGCTCAAACCCTAGAGAGCTCACTATTGGTTGGGGATTTCAATTTGGGGCTTCATAAAATGTAATTGCTGGAACTAAATTGCCATTTGGAGTGTGATTTTCTAATTAAGAACAATTACAAGTGTTCATTGTGGTTAATATGCTGTACTCCGTCATGTCGAACCCTAGGGTAGCCACTTCTGTAACACCTTATGTTTAATTTCAATAAATCATAATTTCACAAATTTGGAATAAAATAAATTTTATTTCAAATAAGGTTCTCAACCCTTGGTGTCATCAAATATTTTTAAAATAAGAAAAAGGGTTACAATTTCTATCAAGTTACTACTATAAGACCCATTCAAATACATTAGTTTCAAATTAAACTCCTAGTCCTATAGCAGTTCTATCCACCCCTTTCACTGAGTCCGGTGCTGATCGTCATGATTACTTGAAAAATGAATGTAAGGGTGAGTACTCTACGCTACCAAAACACAATTAAACATATAGTCTCACCTCCAGCACATTTCCAACACATTTCACATTCATAATTACAAAACACAAATCCATGCATACGCACACCAGCCACACTCACATTGACACCGTGATCACCGATTTACATCATGAATGGTCGCCGGATACCCCCGCCTCACAGATACCACGTGGGCAGTCACGGGTCGCTCAACAAAGGTAATGATCAGAGGTCTAGTCAGGAAGAGAGTGTGTGGCCTGTGATGCACCCGTTCCACAGTCGGTGTCACCACCACTCCCTCTTCCCTAAGGTATTTCTACCGTCCTTATCTCCCACACCCCCAGTGTATCGCTGAACCATCCACAGTACATTACAACAGCGTTACACGCCCCAGTAACACACATTTCAGTATACGGCACGTAGCCTACATTTAACAGTTACGGCACTAGGCCCACATTTCATTTTCACAGCACACACAACATATAGCCCACAATTCATTCAATATACACGGCCCTTAGCCTATTTCCATTCATATTACACAGCCCTCGGGCCCACATTTCACACAATATTCATTCAATTTTTTGGCACGAGTGCCCATACCCATTCACGACATCCAGTACATAATTCACATTATATATCTCAGCAAATTCCTATCCTCTAACTCAGCAACATCACAACATTCCACAGAATAATAGTAAATTACACATAAAAGAGTAGGGTAGAGTCCCCCTTACCTCGAATTGAAGACCCACGCTCAAAGTGGACCATAGGAGTGTTCCCCACACAGATCTCGGCCTAAACACATGAAAGAAGTCCATGAGAACCCCAAAATTCACCCAAAATCAGAGAAAGGGAAGGAAAATTAAAACCCTAACCATTAAAACTCACCTCCAAGAGTTCTTTACTCGGATTCAACCCTCAATCAAGCTCCAGAACGGCTTTGGAGGCAATTTAATCGGTGGAATAGGGTTTGGGAGTGAGAGAAATTACTCTCTCTGAACCCTAACCCCCTTTAAATCCTTTTTTGGTCACGATACTCTCGCTGCAACGAGATATTCTTGGACCTCGCTGCAGCAACACGCCCTCTTGCTACAGCGAAAAAATCAGAGAAAGCAGCACTCTGGTTTCTGTAGAATCTCGCTACAGCAAGACTGCACCCAAATTGCACCCCAAGCTATCGCTCTGTCGCTACAGCGAGACGTCTCTCGCTACAGAGAGAAGGTAAACAGTTCTAGTCCTTCTTCCCAGGGCCCTCTCGCTGCAGCGAGAGGTACAGCGAGAATCCTCTCGCTGCAGCGAGAACAGTCCAGTATTACACCCTGCACTCAGCCTAACCAGTCATGCATACACATATCCATGTAATTAATACACATAAAACATCATTTTCAAATAAATCAACACACATGAATATATATATATATATATATATAATAATAATAATAATAATTAATATTACCGAAATTTGGGCGTTACAACTTCCATTCGAGATGATGAATACTTGTGTGCTCTGATGCAGTAGCGACTATCCTAGGATTGTATCTACATATTTTGGGTGCAACAGCATGATTGAAAAAGGGTCTGGAATGTTACCTTGATTTTACTCAATGCTTTTTAGATGATTGAATCCTAGAGTACTTACTGTCAATTGGGGATTCTGATCTTAAGTTTCCTGCACAATATTTGTTATATGCATTCTATTATTTGAAGTACAATTTTGTGTTTGAAGGGAATTAAGGGTGTTTAATTTAGTTAATATGCTCAATCTCTTCCAAATGGAACCCTTATATGATAGTGATTACTCTGTACCTCTACTGGTCAACATAGTACTTGTTCTATGTTTGTTTTGACATTCAAAATTATCCCCTCCACTCTATGATTCATTTCCCTGTACTCAAACTGCATTGAACTGCACTCTGTTGCAATTCATGTGTACATATCTATTCTGCAGTGGCCATTGTGACCTGAAATAGCAGTCACTGTGTGTATACCTTTATCACCTTGATCCCTCTGCTGAAATTAACTGATTGCAAAATTCTGGGTTATATTTTCACTTCTGACATGTACTACCCCATGACTAATTGCACTTCATTTGCTAAGATTACTTTGGTCCCCTGCTACCAATATGCATATTTAACCAATATGCATATTTCTGGCACAATTCTACTATCTGCAAGTATTCACTTTCATTCCCACTATTTCCACTAGGCATGTGTCTAATATGTTGCTTGCCTGTATGTTAACATTCATTCCATCTCATTTGCTCTACCCCTATCTGCACTTCTTTGCATTTGTTTTTATTCTGCTACTCCACTGCTCAAATTCTATCTATTAGATGTGGCCAACTTGCATACAGGTCATAATAATTACATGACAACAACGGCTTTGAACCGTAAGCTAAGAGAATCTTTTGATTTCTACTATGTGTAATCACATAATCTCCTAATTGCACATATGTATGTTTCTATTTAATTTCTGCAAGTTAGAAGTAATCATCCTTGCAAATTGCATTTCTGTGCATTGCTTGCACCTACACTGGTTTGTTGCTGCATAACCACTATGACAGGTCTAGAATCTACAGTAGTTACTACCCTCTGCATCAGCAATCATCACGGTAGCGGAATCAACATGTGGCCTGCATCTTCATTACATAACCTCTGCATAATTGCTATCACACATTGCCTGAATTCATCTGCACATAGTCAAACATATTACTTGCATTTTTGTAGATGTTCTATACCTATTTTTCGGCATGAATGATCTGTCATGTTGCATCCTGAGGCCATTACCATCACTGAGCACAGTATCCACTTTGGCATTGTGTTCTCTCATAGTAACCACTCTGAGCTGCCATTTCCCTATCCTATAATTGTGTACTTGCTGCTGCATATAACTCTCCTTGCAGTTCTTTACCCTATAGCAACCATTTTCTCTAAACTTCCTTGCCATGGTACTATACATGTTTTACTTCATAATATAAATGCATATCTCACACAGATTCTTTTTCTTCTTTGCAGCAACCATGGTTAACACACCTAGGAAGAATCTACCACGGCTAAAGAGGGCTAAACATGTCCATTCTTGATCAAAATTGAACCTAACTCCATTTGTGGCCGATTGTAGCAAGTAATGAGTAATTTTAAGATCAGACTATCATCTCCACAGGGAATTAGGAATTCAAATATCACTTCACAGAACAATAAGTAGTTGAGCCATATGAATTTGAAAGAGTTGTAACATGTAGAAAGTAAGAAACAAGAACAATTAAAAGGTAAGAAACTTGCAGTAAAAACAGAGTACGAATTTGATGTTGAGATTAGAAATGGATGAATGATAGTTAGGAATTTATTTGACCAAAATATCAATATTAATTCAACTAAGCCTCTAAACATTCAAGCAATTGGTTAATTGACAATCAG